CTTGGGCAGACCAACTCGGAGTAACTTTATCTCAAAGTCCGAAATCTTGGCTATGAATAGAGTTAGAAATATGTGTACTCACAGTCCCAATGTTGCTGTATACATTCAAAATCAAGAAAGCAATAAAGTTAAAACAGAGGTCGCTGCTAGGCAAGGCATGGCGGCCATGCCTTGCTCCATCCATCGCTCACAGTCCCAATGTTGCTGTATACATTCAAAATCAAGAAAGCAATAAAGTTAAAACAGAGGTCGCTGTTAGGCAAGGCATGGCGGCCATGCCTTGCTCCGTCCGTCGCTCTCGCTTCAGGGCAATAACCACCACACCCCCGCATTTGCTGTATGGAAACAAGCCCTCTGCAACTCATTCCCCCTCCAGGAGAACGAGCGGGCCCCACCCGAGATAAGGGGGGCTCCAAAAGAGCGGAGGAGGAGCGGGTGGCTCCGGAGCGATCCGAAAGCTACTCTGCATCACAGTGCCATTACCGGAAAACTCGGTTCTGAATTCTTTTGAAGTGTGTTCTTCAATTTGCATCGATGAGCCTTCCCTCCTTCTGCATCACTAAAGATAACCACAGTCATGATTGTTAAAATTTTAATTAGGTGTTGGCAGAAGTAACAGTAAGTGCTGAGGCTTCAGCTAAAGTGAAAAATGAAGTTCAAGGCGTAAAAGACAAAGCACAAAAGATTGTTGATGAAATTGATTCAGAGAAAGTGGTAGCAGAGGCCAAGCTGGAGGCGGCTAGACCAGCATTAGAGGAAGCAGAAGCTGCTTTGAATGTGAGTGACCATTTTTTTCTATTCAGTTGTTCTCTTGAAGTCACTATACATTGATAGTCTCCGTGCCATTTGTAAGCTAACATTCTTTTCAACATTTGTATTTCTTTCTTTGAATTAGTGCTTTGCAACGTTGAAAGTTCCATGCCACTCTTGGTAACATTATCAAAGGTAGTCTCATGAAAAATACAGAACTGTTTCAGTTTTAGGAGAATGTACTTCACATTTACTATAGTTTAATGAGACTGCCCCCCCCCCAATTGCTGTCTTTACGCTTCCGGTTTTCCAACTGGGTCTCCTACTGGAACCTGACTGTTTCATTAATCCTAGCACAGTCTGTTGCTTAGTAAAATGCAGGCTGATGACAATCCCCCAGCTTTATGAAATTTTACATACGTAATAATTTAATTAATTTTGTTCTTTGCAGACTATCAAACCAGCAGATATTGCAACAGTTCGAAAACTTGCCAAGCCACCTCATCTGATCATGAGGATCATGGACTGCTGTCTGTTGTTGTTCCAAAAGAAAATAGACCCAGTTACCATGGACCCAGAAAAGCCTTGCTTGAAACCATCGTGGAGCGAGTCCTTGAAAGTAAACTAGTATTTGAAAGTTCTAATAGATACAACATAATATTCTAATAGATAGAACATAATATTCTAAACTAGTATTTGAAAGTTCTAATATTTACAATCTGTTCATTTGTATACATTAACTACTGTACAAATATACACTGACTGGTAGTGGCTTTCCAAAACCTAAGGGCGTTACCAACATGTGCCACCTTGTATTCTGTAATTAGAGATGCCAAGTCCTCTGCATACAAAGTGTGTACCTACTGAGCCATGTCAAGTCCCACTTCCTTTAATGTTTCATCTACCGTGTACCTTCAATGAAAGCTTAGTACCCACTGCCTGCTGCCTTCTTAAACCCAACATACAGGTGGCGGCTTTTGGATCCTCTTGAACAAATATACAATGTACAACATCTAGTAAATGAACTCTCCGTTAATGCAGTAGGTATTTGAAGTAACCAGAAAAAAATTGCTTAGAAAATTCTTTAGTTTGGCACAGTATTAGTAAATAGACATGGATAATCCTTAGGAAACAGCTACTGCTAGGGATTTTCTACACCAGGATTTTGCTCCAGCTTGGCTTCTTAACTTCATCAGTTTGTCTCCTCTCTTACACCCAGTATCATTCAGAACAAAAAAAAGTGGTCTGAAAAAAAATACAAGAAGAACTGGGAGACTACAAATGATATTATGTGTGTGTGGGGGGGAACAATGCAGTTAAGAATCTAAGCCGGAGCAAAAATCTGGTGTGGAAAAACAGTTTATCAGTACTTTCACTCTTTTAATTACATTCAGAAACCAATGAAGCAAGGAAGCCATACAAATATAGAAAGATTATCCTTCTAAAAAAACTACCAGTATGTGGAATAGTGAAAGCAAAAACAGTAAACTGCATCTAAAGCAGCTTTGTTTTCATTTTTTCAGCTAATGAGTGGGCCATTTCTGCAGAGTCTACAGCAGTTTGCGAAAGATTCAATCAATGAAGAGACAGTGGAATTACTGCAGCCTTATTTTCAAATGGAAGATTATACTTTTGAGAATGGTAAAAAGGTCTGTGGTAATGTGGCAGGCCTCCTTTCTTGGACACAAGCTATGGCAATATTCTATGGCATAAACAGAGAAGTGTTGCCTCTTAAGGTAAAGAGCAACATTTAGTTTCCTATATGTTTCAAATTACTGGGAGTAAAAAGAAATGCTGTAATATTGTTCATTTCCATTGCAAAGCCTTTGTGGTTAGGGGTGTGCATTTGGATCTTCCCGAGGCAACAAATACCCCCCAAATACCTTATCAGTACTTTTCGGGTACATTTTGGCATCTGGGATTTTTCAGGGGGGGATCTTGAAAAAATCCTGGATATTTTCAGGAACTGGCTCAGGGCAGGTTCCAACAATATAAAATATAATACAATTAAAACCACATTAAAACACAAAATAGATAACCTAACTCTTATGTGCAATACACAGAAGAAATGTGTATAGAAATATTGATTTGTAAGTCTCCTGCCTTCTCCTGTGATGTCTTTCTGATAACAGGCTGTGTCTTATTTCCTGTTGCAAGCCAAATGGTGGGCCAGATGGCCTGAACAACTTTATAACCCACATTCTTCACACTTCCATGCTAGAAGCTAGACTGTAATGCTCCACACTAGGCCCCACATGCGAGAAGTCACGTATACAATGAAGTAGCTGGAGTTTGGGGTCACATGACTGCAGGCGGGGTCTCCAAACTCCTAGCCAATCTGTACACACACCTTATGTACAGCTATAGCAACCAACAATTGGCCACACACCCCTGCTACTCGCGACTGGCTGATGGCCATGGCTAATCATGATTAGTTTGGGTTATAATTGATTGATCCCTATGGGAGTGAGCTCTCTGGCTCTTGCTTTCTCCCCTGTCATTGTCTGTTTTATTGCACCTGAAATGCTGTCTCTTGGAAAACAAAGACCTGCTTTGTGAATTGGACCACATGCTTGTGCAAGATGGGATTTCCCTTCAAAATCCCTTGGTATATACTTGGACTGTTGGATGTTCCTGAATTTGGTAACTATGAATTGCCCTAGCCTTTGTTATTTTGTAATCTCATAGTCTGTTTGCTGTGCTCTATACTGAATAAAGATCCTTCTTATTTCTAATGGTCTCTGATGTTGTAACTTGGATTCCAAGTCTAAGTCTTGTGCCTAACCCTGACCACATACGCTACCATTGGAAGGTAAAAAGCGTGCATCTCTGGATTGAGTTGCTAATGTGTTCTGTTCCAGATGCCAACTCAG